ATATGATGTTGGCTGATGGTTTTTCATAAATAGCCTTTATTAAATTGAGGTATAGACCATCTTGGAATAGATGATCTTTATCTCAATCTGACAAAAACCATCTATGACAAACCAATAACCAACAAAATACTAAATAGTCAAGAATTGAAAGCTTTTGCTGAAAAATCAAGAACAAGACAAGGACATTCGCTATCACTACTCCTATTCAGCACAGATGCGGAAACATTAGCCAGAGAAATTAGGGAGAAAAAAAATAAAAGGAATACAGATAGGAAACGAAGAAGTTGAATTATCCTTATTTGCAGATGACATGATTCTTTGCATAGAAGACCACAAAGACTCCACATAAAAACTTTTAGATATAATAACCAAATATAGTAGCATAGCTAGATACAAAGTCAACACTCAAAAATAGTTTTCCTGTAAACAAATAGCAAATTAACTGAGAAAGAAATTAGGGAAATGACACCTTTAACAATAGCAGTCCAAAAAAATGAAATATTTAGGAATCAATCTAACAAAGAAAATAAAGGACCTTCACAGTGATAATTATAATACTCTGATAAAGGAGATCAAAGAGGATATCAAAAGATGAAAATATATCCCCTCCTCTTGTGTAGAAAGTCTCAACACAGTCAAAATAGCCATACCTCCAAAATTGTTATACAGATTTAATGCAATCTCAATCAAATTACCACTAGCATACCTCACAGAGCTAAAGAAAAGATTTCTAAAATGCATTTGGAACCAGAAGCAACCTAGAAGAGCAAAACAAATTCTGGGCAACAGAGGTAAGGCAGGGAGCATCACAATTGCTGACTTGAAATTATACTACAAAGGTACTGTGATAAATGTTTAACATCACTGGTCATCTAAGAGATGCAAATTAAAACAAACCTGAGATTCCATCTTACTCCAGACCCAATGGCTGCAATCAAGGGATAAACCAACAACAAATGCTGGTAGGACTATGGTGAATAAAGGAACACCTCCCCACTGTTGGTGGGAGTGCAGTCTGGTGCAACCAGATGTGGAAAACAGTGTGGAGATTCTTCAAAAAAATTAGGATTAGAGGTTCACTTGACCAAGCCATTCCTCTGCCTGGTATCTTGTTAAAAGAATTAAAGTTTATAACACAACCTACAATGCACCTATGTTTACAGCAAAACAGTTTGTAATAGCTAAATCTTGGAAACAAGGCAAATGCCCTTCAACCAATTCATGGATACAAAAATTTGTGGTTCTTTTTTATACCATAGAGTGCTACTCAGCCACAAAGATGAATAAAATTAAGACATTTATAGCTAACTGGATAAAACCTGACACAATATTCTCACATGAAATCAGACACTTGTGTAAATAAATATCACATTGCATCTCTGATCTGAGAAACTGAAAGAGTAAATAAGAACTAAAATATATAATAGATAACAAAAAAATAGGAAGAAACTGTTCAATAGAAAAGGAAAAGTGAAGGATGAATGAAGAAAAATGGAGAGAAAAGAAAAAATAAAGAGAGGGAAAATGGAAACAACAGTTCTATAAATAAGGAGGGGAGCAGGGTTGAATGGAACTCAGGGGACAGTGAGAAAAAGAAGAAGCAAGCTATATCGTGTACAGGTACAAGTTCCCCTTCATGAATGTGAATGCTACATATATTTAAATTGTACCAATAAAACTAATTTTAAAGAAAAAGAATGTCTAGGTTGGGGATTTAGCTCAGTGAGGCCACCAAGACAAGAAAGAAAGAAAAAGAATGTCTAGACAAAATGTGGTGTATGCATGCAATAGGATATCGCTTTACCTTTGAGAACAGGAAATTCTGACATGCTGACACATGATTGAATGCAGAAAAGATTGTAAAAGCGAGAAAGTCAAATTCAATAGTACAAATAATATCAGAGCCTGTTTCTCTGAGATATTTGAGCAGATAAATTCATACGCACAAGAAGTGGACTCGTGGTAGCCAGGGTCTGTGTGGATGGAAGATTGGGTAGACATTACCCAGAAGGTCCAGCCTGAATTTGGTAGATAAGATTCTAGGGGTTTAAGATTCTAGGGGTCAGTGGAGGTTGTGCTGCAGAACAATATGAGTGCACATAATGCCATTTAATGGTGTGCTGAAATTTGGATAAAATAATGAATTTTATGCTGCATCTGTTTTACCATGTAAAAAGTATGAGAAAAGTAGAAGAGACATTGCCTAACATAAAGCCCCTTGATGGTTTCTTCCTTTGAAAAACTATCCAGAGTGCTCCACAGCTGCTCTAGCGCTGCCTGCCTCTACCCCATCCTTGCCTAAGTGGACAGTGAGGAAGAGGAGGAAGCAGGAGCAGCACACTGCTGCGGAGCTGCCAAACCCACAGCACAGCACGGCCTTTCTCTGGGTCACGAGAACTGTGTGGTTACTGAACGTGGTGGAAGACAGAAAGAGCAGCAGGGGAGACAGGCTGGGCAGGGGGTGCGCTCCTCAGCCATCCCCTGGGACCGAGTAAGTGAGAAAGTCAGCAGGAAGGAGGAAGATTTACTGTGGCTCCGGGGCCACAGATTTCACTCCACAGTCAGCTGTTCCACTGCCCCTGGGCCTGAGGTCAGAGGATCACGTGGAAGGGCAGGGCAGAGGACAGCTGTGCTCCTCATGGTGGCGCAGGGCAGAGAGAGCCAGACAGGAAGGGCAGGGATGAGATACAGCCCAAGGCATTCCACACGGCCCACTACCTCCAGCTGGGCCCAGCTCCTTCACCTCCCATGGATGCCATCAGATTGCCCTCCCGATGAGCCCACTGAGGAAGTGAGAACATTCCTGATGAAACAGCCCTGAAAACCCCACCTCTGAACACATGAGCTAGCTCCAGACATTCTGGGTCCAAAGCACAAAAACCACTCCTGGCCCCCAATTCCCACATCCATCTCTCTATGCAAAATGCACTTTGTCCAACTCCAGGAGTCCTCAGAACTTCACAGTTCCATCATCACTCCAAATCCAAGTCACAGTGTATTACAACATGTGCAAACTTGTCAAAATGAAACCCCATTGTCAGTATGCACTGATTAAAAAAAAATTTGAAAGAAATTCCAAGTCCAGAGACTTCCCTGGGACTAGAGCCAATCTTTGGCTGGGAGCTACTTTCGAAACAAAAAAGCAAGTTCCAACATCCAACAGTGTGACAGGCATAGGGTAAACATTCCCATTCCAGGAAAATAGCAAGGAGGAACCCAAAACCAGAAAGACAAGTATTAAATCCCAAAGCTGCAGCCCAGCACCCAGGACACCTGTGGCAGGATGTGCATGTCTATGGTCTGGGGCAGCCCCAATCCCCTGGCCTTGCCAGTTGCACCCTCCTGGCCTCTCTCTCCTCTGCCTCTGCTCCCTGCCTACAGCTTACTTCCCAGGATGTCCCATGTTCCTGGAATCTCTAAATTCCTGAGATTCCCTCACTGCAGCTTTGCCTTTCCTCACAGTTTCATGCATCAGGCTCTCTGGGGTCCCCTCTGGGGATAGGAACCCTGCCACACTAGTCTGGCTCCCAGGTCTCCCACTGAAATGCTGCTAGAAGCCTCCATGAACCACACCTGCAGTTCTCATACCTGCAGAGCAAGCACAGTGTCCATGAAACCAAGGTCTTACACCCACATGAGCAGGAGCCAGGGCCCCTTGGACAGTGGCTGCTGTGGCCTCTGAGTGCCTGGATGGCTGAGCATGGAGAAATGAATCTGAGGGACCCAACAATCTAGGCAGACCTGCCCAAGGACAGCACTCCAGGATTTCTTCATAATGAAAGATTTATACTATATATACTTCACCCTATGTAGGTGGGGTCATGCTGATACCTTCAAACCATCTTTTCTCTTGTCCTTTGGAAAGTACTTGGCTTTTTTAATGGCACTAATGTCTGCAGCAACCATAACTTACTTGAGCCCAAGCTTTTGAAATCCTTCTCTTGTCCTCTCTGCTCTTGACTCGCACTGTTAACCTGGCTGAAAGCATGGAGCAGTGCCCATCTCATAACCTGAGTGCTGTTCTCCATGAGACTTCCTGTGTCACACCAATTAATTTGTCACCTTTAAACCCAGCTTTCCACAATGTCTCAGAGCATGAATAAAATTCAGACAAGTGCTTTGTCAGCCTGTATCATGATAGCACTCTCAACAAATTTCCAAGACAATAAACTTTTCTTTCTGAAACTTCATCAACACAGACTTTATCAGCCTCCCTGAGTCATCCTGTCTAGGACACTTCAGAGCCACCTGTATTTCAAAGTAAACGGATAGGGAATAATTGTGTTGTAGCAGTGTGATATACGAGGACATCTAATACTCATGGGAATCATTACAACAGCAAAATGAAAGACATAAGTATTAGGCATAGGATTATAGAAATGGGAAAGTAAAATTCATCTTCTTCCATGTCCATTTCCTTCCAGCTGTATATTAGACACAGATGCCATGGAAATGGACAATGCGAGCTTTCCCAACACTTTTGTCCTGCTGGGCTTCTCAGAGTTTCCATGGCTGGAGAGGCCCCTCTTTTCAGTGGTCCTGGTCTCCTACATCCTCACTCTGGTGGGGAACAGCTCCATCATCCTCCTCTCCCTAATGGATCCCAGACTGCAGACACCCATGTACTTCTTCCTGGACAACCTCTCTCTGCTGGACCTCGGTATCACCTGCACCACTGTGCCCCAGCTTCTGGCCAATCTGTGGGGACCAGACAAGACCATTGCTGCCTGGGGATGCATCACACAGCTCTATGTTTATACCTGGACAGGATGCACTGAATGCATCCTGCTGGCCGTGATGGCCATTGATCGCTATGTGGCCATCTGCCAGCCCCTCCGGTACACTCTCATCATGCGTCCCTGGGTGTGTGTGCAGATGGCAGCTGCATGCTGGTTAACTGGCTTGGGCAGTACGCTACTCCATACCACACTGACCCTACAGCTCCCATTCTGTGGGCACCACCCCCTGGACCACTTCTTCTGTGAGGTGCCTGTCCTCATCAAGCTGGCCTGTGGGGACACCTCTGCTAATGAACTGGCCTTGGCTTTGGGAGCAATACTTTTTACCCTAGTGGCTCCCCTGATGGTGGTCATCTCCTACACCCTCATTGGTAGGGCTGTTCTGAAGTTACCTTCAGCTGAAGGCAGGCACAAAGCACTCAGCACCTGCAGTTCCCACTTACTGGTGGTCACCTTGTATTTTGGACCAGGCATGTACATGTACCTCCAGCCTCCAGCCAAGAGTTCTCAGGCCAAGTTCATGTCCTTCTTCTACTGTGTTATCACCCCAGTACTTAATCCACTCATCTACACCCTGAGAAACAATGATGTGAAGACGGCATGGAAGAGGATCCTGCAGTCACAGAATTGTGTAGAGTCTTTAAAATCCAGAGGACAGATACAAAATTAAACAGAGGTTTTGTCTTTTGGGGATTTTTAGGAGGTTTTTGTGGGTTTTTGTTGTTTCGTTTTGTTTTGTTTTGTTTTTTGGTAAGGAGGATCAAACTCTGGACCTTGCATTTGTGAGGCAGACAGTGACAACACTAAGCTAAATTCCTGGCCCAAAATAGAGCTTTTGAAAGTGGAGAAGGGAAGAATGTTTTGAGAGAGGAAATAGAAGAGAAACAAGACAACAAAGAAGTAATGTATATTATGTCTATATACATACTCCCCTTGTGAACGTGAGCATTATGTACTGAAACTATAAACTGGTAAAAAAAATCAATACCTTTTCTCTACAACGAACTAAAGAAGAAATCAGAAAATAATTCCATTCACAATAGCTTAAAAATATAAAATTTCCAAGGATAAATCTAAGCAAGGATGATAAAGACTTCCATTGTGAAAATTTCAGAAGACTGAAGAAGTAAACTGAAGGAGACACTAGAAGATGGAAAGACGTCTCATGTTCATGGATTGGCAGAATTAATATTACTAAATTGGCTGCATCACTAGAAGCAATCTGCAGATTCAGTGCAATCCCCATCAAAATTCCAATGACATTCTTCAAATAACTACAAACAAAACCCAAAATGCATGTGAAAACAAGAAAGACAGAATAGACAAAGCAGCTCTAAGTAAAAGGAGAAACTGGAGTCAGCTCAATACCCAAAATAAAGTTTTACCACAAAGCCATAGTAACAAAAGCAGCATGGAACTGGCACAAAAAAGGACATGTAGTTCAGAATAGAGGACCCAAAAACAAATTCACATGGAGACTTTAAATGGCAGAGTGAAAATTAGCAGCAAAATACAGCCTGTTGGTTTCCCAGGATATGGAATGAGGACCCTGCCAGAGGAGCTGCATGGATTTTTTTTTTTTTTTTTTTTTTTTTTTGTACCAGGGATTGAACTCGGGTCCTTGCACTTGCAAGGCAGGCCACCGAACCGCTGAGCTAAATCCCCGGCCCTGCATGGAATTTTTGGTTGTTTGATTTTTCCTGAAGAATTGAAAGTAGACCTCCAGAAATCAGAAGTGAATTGACAAGGAAAGTAGCAATACAGGAAAATTGAAAAGTCTGAGCGCGGTGCAGAAAATATAATGAAGCATTCTGAAACACTAACACTAGGTCCCACAGAGAGGTCCTGGCTTCACCAACCCAGGTGAAACAAGGGAGATTGTCACTTTCAGGGTGAAGCAATGCACTGGACTGGTAGTGCTGAATCCCACAGTTACTGTAAACTGCAAAAAGAGCACGAAGTTGTATCTGAAAGTAACTCCTTCCACATGGCAGTCTAGAGTTGGCCAAGAAATCCAGTGCAGAGCCCACCATATGTGAGAGATTAATGAGGGAAAGGGTTATTTTATTCACTGAGACACTGGGCCATCTTGGGAGTCCAGCAGCTTGAGGGAAGGAGGCAGCACTGCAGAGGACAGACTCCCTTCATTCTCTCCCTCCAACCTGGAAGGGGAAATACAGCGTGGTGGTGGACTGCACTTTGGGCCCAGGGAAACTGCGGACCGCAGCCAGATAAAGGGAGAGCCAGCAGCACAAAAGTAAGAAATGTCCCCCAGCATCCTCACAAACACCGGGAATGCTGTGTCCCTGCAGCATCCTCCCACCACCAACCCCTCAGGGACAAAAAGGAAAACCCCACACCCTAGGCACAGAAAGGCAGAACACGGGGAACTGTGGGCAGCCCAGAGCTCACTGGGAAGGGCTGGGAGATCTCATTCCTGGAGACTTGGGGAGGGGAGAGACTCACTGCAGCTGCACAGAGTGGGCCTTTTCCCATTGCTTCCCCAGACACCAGAACGATCTGAGACAGCGTGAAATCCTTCCCACCACCCACGGCCCCACATGGGAAAGGAGGCCCTCCGCTGAGCCTGGGGACTGTGCTGAGGTCCACAGGTTGGAAAGCAGAGCTCTTGGGACAGGGGCCAAGGGTGGGTAAGGCCTGAGGGTGAAGCAACAGAAAGCATTGCCTGAGCTGAGCACTTCTGAGCTGAGCACGGGGCAGAAAGCTCCTGTGCAGAGTGTGGAGATGATGGTAGGATTGTCCTGCAATAAGGGGCAAGCAAGTGGTGGTCACTGGTGGAGGTCAACAGAGATCTGGGTGTTGGGCAAACTGCACTGCATCCTCTCCCTCCCCAGTTAATTCAGGAGGTTGGATTTCCACATAGAGACAGAGGCCTGCAGTTGGCCACACCTAAACCGTGGCTCGCAGCCAGGAGGCAGACACTGACAGCCCTCTCCAGGACCAGGCAGGTGGTTAAGAAGTCCACAGGGGAGACTGCAGTGGAACTACAAGGACAGCACGCAGGGAGCTGTGTGGACCCTCCGGCTCCATGGTATTTCAGCTGTGTCAGGGCTTCTTCTTTGTTTCTCTTCGTGTCTGTTCTGGGGTTTTTCTTTCCTTTTCTTTTCTTTTTTTTTTTCTCCTATTCGTGCGCCTTTATTAATATTATTTTTATTAGTAAGGTTTTTTCTTCTGCTTTCTTTCGTCTTTTTAACATTCTTCCCTCTTTGATTGTCTTCATTTTCCCTCTCCCCTTCTCTTCTCTCCCTTCTTTCAACATTACATTCAAAAGACTGATATTTTAATGATTCAAAAGATTTGCGGTACTATAAAAATAAATACCAACATTACCAACTACCAAAGCCCAAGAGAACTGGTAAGACCAGAAGACTGTTGAAAACAACAAAGGGAAAGGAATTCTTTTTCTATTGCAAGCATTCTGTCTCATGGAGATAGTACCTTTCAACAGCGACTCACACTTTTCCTTATCTCACCCTGAGCCAACCTGCATGTGGCCTCTGCTTCTCTCCAGATTTGTTCTTCCCACAGATGCCACTGATGACCCCTGGGGACCAAGGCCCCTCGCCACGAAAAGGAGCACTATCACCTTCTCCTGACCAAACCCTGGACCCCGTTGAATGTGGGGACCTGTGGCTGAGAAGCAGAAAAGTCTCCTCTGTGTCTCAAAAAAGAGAGTAGCAACTCAGAAAGCAGCTGGGGAACATCCTGTCTGCAATGCTGCGTGTCACTAGGACGTTTATGACAACTCTCCATGCTGGGCTTGAGCAACTCAGCACTGGTCTGATGGTGTGGAGGTCACAGTGGCCCATAATGTGTTTGAAACTAAGCCAGGCAAAATTATCTTCTCAGCTCGCTCTGAGGGTGGAAACAACAGCAACAATAAAATGTGGAACAAAGTCAGGGGGTTGCAATGTGATAAAATACAATGCAAGAAAAACAGCCCTGCAAACAGGATGCTTCATAAAGATGTGATCAGGTTGCCCACAAGACTAAAGGGCAAATATTTGTGTAGTTTTAGAGCTTCCCGATTTTTTGTTGAAGAGATTTGTTTCATTTAAATTATATTAATTCAAAAACTTAAATATACTGACTTGCAGGTAATGAACCATGAAATTTGTCTACACTCAGGTAAGTATGAAAACATTAATATTCATCTTCTCTCAGAAGCTAAAGAAGAGTGAACCTGGTCTGGACTTCTATGGGGAAGGACAGATTTAAACAGTTTCCCCTGTGGCTGCATCAGGCTGCCTTTGAGCCCAATTTTTTTTTATTTTGTTTTTGGTTTTGGTTTTTTTGTTTTGCACTAGGATCAAACTCAGGTCCTGGTGCTTGCAAGGGAGGAGTTGGAACCACTGAGCTAAATCCCAGCCCTGAGCCCAATTTTTAAAGGGTGGCATGAGAACATCAATCCCGTAAAAGATACTTTTATTTAATCACCATCTGGCCTTCAGCTCTCTTAGACAGACACTTCAGAGCAAGACAATAAAATAGAAGAAGCCCAAATCCCTCTGGACCGCTCACGACAATCTCAGCCCTGCAGCTAATTATGTACCTGGAGAATCTCAGGTCTCAGAGCAGCCAGCCAGGAACCTCAGGAGGCCTCCACTCAACAAATCCCCTCTCCTGGCTGGGTTCAGGGACTGCACCCTCTGTGGATGGAACCCGAGACCCTGGATGGAACCTGAGACCCGGGAAGGAAGCTGCGTCCCTGACCCAGGACCCAACTCTCCCACTGCTGGCTCCTCACTCACTGCACCTTTGCTCTTCAATGTCAAGGTAAACGAGGGGAGACCCGGTTACTAATGAGCACCTTGCTGGGCCTCCTCTCTCCTCGAGCTGCGTGGGAGATTCCCTCCCTTGGCCAATGAGTGTGGGTCAATCTAGGCTTTGGGAGGTAAAAACTCAGACACTAAAACGAGAGCTTTGAGGAGAGAATGTTTAACCCTGATGGTGATCACCTTTCCCCTGTCCTCATGTCTATCAGGTTTCCAATCCTAGAGAAGGTTACGACTGAGAAGATGTATATGATCTTGGAAGTTGCTGGCAAAGGAAAGGTGACAGCACAGCCATCCCCAGTGGTGAGAGAGGGAACAAAACCATCGCTGAACAACTGAGGGCCTGGTAAGGAGCAAGCACTAAACCAGGGTTAGATGAAAATCAGCAAGGAAACAAATACACAAAGAAATCTGTCATTCTGTGTCTTACATACCAGGAACCAGGGGCTGAAGATAAAATGAGGTTTCAGTAAAGTCTAGAGCATTGGGCAGAAATCGGGAAGGGAACAGAAGTTTCCGTAACAAGCGAGAGAAACATCATCTGGAGCCGAGCTGAATCAGCTCTGCGTGTGAGTGAGTGGCGAGGAGGTGGCCAGGAGCAGCCAGCGTGAGCATTTCGGGGGCTACAGGGGCAAGGAGCTCGGATGAGGCTGCAGAAGGACCTGAGCCACTCCCTGTACACCTCCCCATCCCTAAGAGGCAGCCGCAGCAGCACCTGAGCAGGAGAGGCGAACTTAAAGGTCAGAAGGAGGAAAAGCTGGCAATTCAGATTTGGTCTTTGCACGTTGCCTGTATGTGAGAGATAAGCACACAAGACTATGGAAATAGGAAAACATTTTAAGTTAATAATAAATATTAAGACCATTTTTGTTTGCTTGTATATATTTGTGCTGGTGATTGACCCCATGGCCTAGTGCACACTGGGGAAAGCTCTAGCCCTGAGTTGTGTACTCAGGTTTATACAAATTTTTAGAACTTAAGCATGCATCAAACTCAAAGCTCTCAGTGGCAGGAGAGGCAGGGGTGACTGAAGTGGTGTAAGAGGTCAAAGTAACACATGAGATGGAGAGGCGAGGCCGTGGAGAACTCCCAGAGGAGCTGGCACTGGCACAGGTTGTACACAAGACGTGTTCTTCTGCAGACCAGCTGAGGCAGAGGAGAAGCCCTAGGCAGGGACCCAGGACTGTTCGGGAAGCAGGCAGAGGGGAGTATCGGGTCAGAGAGAGAAAACATGGGAAGACATAGGGGCCATATCAGGGCCTGATTCTAAAGCAGGGGTCTCCGTGGTCCCTCTGGGCTGTAAATGAGGTTTGCAATTCCGGGAGATCACACTCAAGCAGGTGAGCATGAGGACTGGATTGGGTGGAAACAGACACATACACACTGATACTCCACCAAGTCTTATCCAAATGCTGCCAGTAAACATGATTTCTTGCATTTTAGTGCAAGGGGCTAAAGATCAAGGTGCAGGTATAGCCTGCCCAAAACACTTGGGCTCACTGTGTCTGCCAGCAGAACAAGCACTCAGAGAGCGTGACTCTGGGTGTAAACACGGTGTGCAGGGCCCTACTCCAGATGTCCAGCTACAAACAGGGCCCACAACAATGTCCGCTCCTGACTCTCCAGATAAGGGTGCATTTTCTGTGGGGTTCGTGTTGTCCTGCCTTTGCTGTGACTGACTCCACTCTCACAAACATTCTGTTCAGTGCTCTTCTCTACTTTCACCTTCAGTTATCACAAAATTTAGTGCTTTCTTTCTTTCTGAATCTTTGGGTAATATTTGTCCCTCGTGTCTGCTGATACATTTCTGACTCTCCAGAATGCTTGTCCACAGATCTGCAAGCTGATCAGCTATGATTCTGTAATATCCATGAATCTAAAGAATTCGCCATGGGTCATATCTGAGGGTATTTTTTCTTGGTGGCTTGGTAACATCCCAGAAAAGCTGCTTTAGAGCTCACTTACTTGAGTACAACTAATGGTGTTTTCTATGACTCTTTTCAAAGGTAAAATAAATAATATTGTTCATAACATTTTATAAAATTTAGACATACTTTTTCATTCTTCAAATAATTATGTTTCCAATCTAGTGGTATGTTTTTGAATCTAGTTCATGCATGTTCTGCTCAATTATTAAATACAATGTGTTCTTTAAATTGTTGCACATATAAAAATATTTGCTCTCTAGGAAATTTCAGGATGAAAAATTTTTATAAAGATAAAACTAAAAAGTCAGAAGTACAATTAAGAGAGAGAGAGAGAGAGCATAGTGATTTCTTAGACAGTTTGGCCTCCATAAAAAAACTACCACAACTGCATGATGTACAAAAACCCAGAAATTTATACAGAATGGGATGGTGCATATCAATGAAAAGCAGCAGGAAACAGGGGTGCTGTCCAGTATGTGGATAGTTGGAGCCTTTGTGAACTGCTGGGGAAGGAAAACAGTACAGCAGACGGGCAGAGAAACATAGCTATTCTGCAGAAACTTAGACATAGGGTTGCTGTAGGGTGCAGAAATGTCACTTCTGAGTCTTCATCCAAATCAATGGAAACGAGGATCTCAAACAGGAATTGGACACCAATGTGTATAGCAGCATCAATAACATAGCAGAAGGATGGAAACAATGTGTGTGTGAGCTGAGAGATGAATCTAAACGTCCTTTGTACATCTATAAAATCTGAGTCCTAAAAGCAGAAAAATGTGATATATGCTTCAGTACATATGAAATTTTAGGACATGATAAAAGGGAATAAGCTAACCACAAAAATGAATGCTGCTTGATTCTAACTGGTGTGATAAAGGTCACTTGTCAGAGGAAAGAAAGGAAACATCTCATAGGTACAGAGGGAGTTTGCAAGAGGAAGATATTCAGAAAATAGGTGGTGGTGATGGTTTTATAACATTATCAATCTAGTTAATTCCATCGAGGTGCATGTTTAAAAATTAGTGAGTGGGTAAGTGTTATGCCATTTGGAAAAAAAGACATTTGGAAAGACATTTGGAAAAAAAGAAAATGAAAAAGGTTGCCTCAAATTTACTTCATTTGATGCCCTCTTTCAGGAAGAAAAAGTTCATGAGATATGAAGGTTCATGTGAAAAAAATAAACATTGTAAGCATACACTAATAAAGAAAGGAAAAGAGGAAAAGAAATTTATCTTTAAAAACCTGCCACTTTCTGTTCAGCTATATATTAAAGACCAGTCCAATGGAAACAGGAAACATGAGCTTTCCCAATGCTTTTGCCTTGCTGGGCTTCTCAGAGTTTCCGTGGCTGGAGAGGCCCCTCTCTGCAGTGGTCCTGGTCTCCTACATCCTCACCCTGCTGGGAAACAGCTCCATCATCCTCCTCTCCCTGGTGGACCCCAGACTCCAGAAACCCATGTACTTCTTCCTGGACAACCTGTCTCTGCTGGACCTCAGTGTGACCTGCACCATTGTGCCCCAGCTACTGACCAACCTCTGGGGACCAGACAAGACCATTGCTGCGTGGGGCTGCATCACACAGCTCTATGTTTATACCTGGGTGGGTACTACTGAATGTGCCCTGCTGGCCGTGATGGCCATTGATCGCTATGTGGCCATCTGCAAGCCCCTCCAGTACACTCTCATCATGCGTCCCTGGGTGTGTGTGAAGATGGCAGCTGCCTCCTGGTGCAGTGGCCTGGCCAGTTCCCTGCTCCAGGCCACACTGACCCTCCAGCTCCCATTCTGTGGTCACCACACCCTGGACCACTTCTTCTGTGAAGTACCTGTGCTCATCAAGCTGGCCTGTGGGGACACCACCTCTAATGACCTGGCAATGGTTGTAGGAAACATACCCTTTGCAATGTTGGCTCCCCTGCTGGTGGTCATCTCCTACACCTTCATTGCCAGGGCTATACTGAAGCTCCCTTCAGCTGAAGGAAGACACAAGGCACTCAGCACCTGCAGTTCCCACTTGCTGGTTGTCACCCTGTTCTTTGGGCCAGGCATCTACATGTACCTCCAGCCTCCATCCAAGACTTCTCAAGCCAAGTTTATGTCCTTCTTCTACTGTGTTATCACCCCAATTTCAAGGCACTCAGCACCTGCAGTTCCCACTTGCTGGTTGTCACCCTGTTCTTTGGGCCAGGCATCTACATGTACCTCCAGCCTCCATCCAAGACTTCTCAAGCCAAGTTTATGTCCTTCTTCTACTGTGTTATCACCCCAATTCTCAACCCACTCATCTACACCCTGAGAAACAAGGATGTGCAGACAGCATGGAAGAGGATCCTGCAATCCCAGGGCAGGCTAAAGTCCTGGAAACCCAGATGATTTCTGCCTGTCTCCTAAGCAGCTACATGTACACAGTGATGAACACTGGCATATCACGTCTTCTCTTCCAAATGAACATCCACAAGAGGTCCCAATTTTCAAGACAAACCACTTTGATGATTGGAGAAAATCTTTGGACTAGAAAGTTCAATATCTTTAGTCTGATGGACAGCCATTGTCCTTTCTTAAACACTTCAGGTGCCATGTCTGGCCTCACAGACACAAGGAACAGCATGGTTCATAACTCCTTAGGATGGTGAGAAATGTTAGTTTCATGCATTTTCTTTCTTTTTACATTCCACTCTCTCTTTTTCCCTTCCTTTCTCTCTTCCTCTTTCTTTTGGTAAGTTAACTGCACACTCCAATGGTTTTCAGTGAGTTTCACTGGTCTTCATTCATTTTTCCTTCTCTGCATGCACCATGCACTGATCACGTCCACCCTCTCTCTTCTCTCTTGGCCCCTTAGGCCCCCCTAACCGCCTTTGTCCTGCCTAATCATCCCCACTCTCCTCTCGTCTCACCTCTCTCTCCCTAGGTGTGCTATATGACAAAAAATGGTATTTGTTTTTCAGTACCCAGCTTGTTTTACATAGATAATTTATTTTCAATTCCATCAGATTTCCTGCAAATGGCATGATTTTGTTTTCTTTTATCATTGAATGATCCTTCCCTGTGTTTATATACCACTTTTTCTTTATCCATTTATCCAATAATGGAAAGCTATATTGAGCCCCTACCTTAGTTACTACGAATAGTGCCGCAATAAACATTAGTAGGTAGGGTTTAGTATGTCTGTGGTATACTGACTTGCCTTTTGGTAATATAAAAGGGAGTGGCATACCTGGACCATGTGGTATGTCTATTTTTATTTGTGTTTCACTGAAGAAATCTCTACTGATTTAATAGTATATGTACAAATTTATATTCCCAACAGCAGTGTATAAATATTCTATTTTCCCTGTAATATTATGAGCATTTATTACATTTTGTTTTCTTGATGATCGCAACTTTTATCTTAATGAAATTCATTGCCAATATAATTTAGATTTGCATTTTCAAAATGCAATATTTTTTCAAGTAGTTTTAACTAATTGTAGTTCTTTTGAGAAGTATCTGATCAGCTCTTCATCTCACTAATTGATTGAAATATTTGTTATTTTCTTATTAAACTTTTTGTGTTACATATATGTGTGTGTGTGTGTATGATATTAACCATCAATCAGATGAACAGCTGCTTTAGATTTTTGCTCATCCTGAAAATTGTCCCTTAATCATTTTAATGTTTCCTTTGCTATGCAGACACCTTTTAATTTCATGAAAGCCATTTGTCAATTCTTGCTGTTATGTCCTGAGCTGTTGTATCTAATTCAGAAAATCATTGCTTGTACGAAAGGCTTTAAGTGTTTCCCCTATGTTTTTCTCTAGTACATTCAGGCTTTGAAGTGCTATGTTATTGTCTCTAGTTCATTTTGACTTAATTTTTGCACAGAGTGAGACATAGGAATTTACATTTATTAATTTGCATATGCTAATCCATCCCTGGTGATGAATCCCAAGTGATGAATCTCACTTTGTCAGGGTGTATATTTTCGATGATCCTCTGCACCCTTTTTGCCGGTTTCTTATTAAGGACTTTTGCATCTACATTTCTTAGTGAAATTGGCCTATTGTTCTCTTTTTTGGTTGGGAGTTTCTCTGCTTTTCGGTCAAGGTGATGCTTGCTTCCTGGAATGAACTTGGGTGTATTGCTTCCCTTTCAATTTCATTGAAGAGTATAAATAGTCCTAGCAATACTTCCCTAAATGTCTTGTACAATTCAGCAGTGAAGCCATCAAACCCTGGGCTTTTTAGTTGGTAAGTTTTAAATTACATTTATCCTTTTCTGAGAATGAACTATTTGCTCCTTTGCTTCTTTGTATCATTCTTAGTCTCCATTGCACTGATTTCTGCTCTGATATGTATAATTACCTGCCTTGTATGAGCTTTGGGTTTGTCTTGCTCTTCTTTGTTTAGGAGCTTGAGATTCAGCATTAGGTTTTTTGTTTGTGCTTACTCTGTTTTCCTAATATGGGTACTCACTGCTGTGAATTTCCCTTGTGAGGCTGCTTTCATTGTGCCCCATAATTTCTCATATGCTTTACTGTCATTGTTATATAATTTTAGAATTTGTCTAATTTCCTCTTTAATTTCCTCTGTAAGCCACTTGTTGTTCAGGAGCGTGTTATTCAATTTCTGTGGGTTTATGAAGTTTTTCTGATTTCTTTTTCTGTTGATCTTAAGTTTCATGACACCATGATCAAAAAATATACCAGGAATATCTTCAAATCTTTTGCTTTTACTTAAACATGTTCTATCAGCAAGTATGCGATCAATTTTGGAGACTGACCCATGTGCACCTGAAAAGAATTTGGATTCTGATTTTGTGGGTAGAACACTCTGTAGACATCTATCATGTCCATTTTTTTCAAAAATTTGGTTCAGTGCTAGTATTTTGTTGTTCACTTTCTGTTTAGATGATCTGTCTGTTTGGGAAATGAGGGTACCAAGTTCCCCCACTACAATTTTATTAGTCCCTATATTGTTTTTCATGTCCATTAATATTTATTCCATGTAGTTGAAAGAGCTAGTATTTGGTGCATATATATATATATATATATGACTGTCATATCTTCCCTTTGGATTGATCCCTTTAAAAGGATGCAGTGACCTTCTTTATTTCTCTTAATTAGTTTTAGTTTGAAATCTACCTTGTATGTAAATAATGTAGCTATCCCCGCTTTTTTGAAGGTTCCTGTCTTATGGAAATATATTTTCCATCGTTTTACTTTTACTCTGAGTTTCTCTTTGACTTAAGAGTGTTTCTTGTATAGAGCAAATTGTTGGATCTTGCTTCTTGGACTTGCTCTGTTGGGCCTCATGGTGTTGTGACCCTCATTGTCATTTTCTAGAATATCATTTAGAATTTTTTGCAGTGCTGCTTTGCAATTCATAATGTTTCTAAGGTTCTTTGTCATGAAAGTATCTTATTTCCCCATCCATTGTAAAAGAGAGTTTTGCAGGATATATCAGTCTAGCTTGGAAGTTGTTTTCTTTTAGGGCTTTAAATATCTCACTCCAGGCTCTCATAGACATGAGGGTTTGTGTTGAAAACTCTGATGTGTGTAAATAAGGGAGAGTGGATGGGGTGAAGGGAGGGCAGAGATATGGGGAAAAAATGAGAACCAAAATCTGTCATGTAAAGGTACAAGATCCCAATGATGAATGTAACTGTACTATATACTTAAAAAGTACCAATAAACTCAATAAAAAGAAAAGTATGCTGTTATTCTAATGGGCCTTGCTTTGCATGTGATTTGTTTCTTTTCTCTAACTGCTTGTAGGATTTTGTTCTTCTGTTGTGTTTCTAGAATCCTAACTATGATATTTCTAGTTGTAGATTTTTTTTACCATGGCTGTCTAGGCTCCTATATGCATCACTTATATATATGTCAAATTCTTTTCCACTGCTTGGGAACTTTTTGGCCATTGCATATCTGAACAGTTTGTTTTCTCATTTGTAATTACTCCTGTGCCCCCATCAGTATTTTGTTACTCTTCTTTACATAATTTAGGAGCTATTGGATCAATTTCTCATGGTCCCTTAACATTTTTCAGAAACTTTTCTTTTCTGGGCTGGAGATTTAGCTCAGCAGTTTGGTGGCCTACCTTGCAAGTGCAAGGACCCAAGTTCAATCCCCAGTACAAAAAAAAATTGTTTTCATGGTCACTAACCACAATCCTGTCTTTTATACTTGATATTCTATCTTCACATTGACTCACTCTAATAGCAATACTTTCAGTGGAGTTTTTTCTCATTTTCCCCATATCTTTGCTCTCCCTTCATTCTTCTGTCCATCCCTATTAACAAGACTTTGCTTTCATTTTCTTCTTTTCTACAGTTTTTTCTTATCCCTTATTTCCTTTCTACTATACTGCCCACTTACCCTGCACCTTTAGCCCTTTTCTTCGTATTTCACATTCTCAATTATACCATTTGGATCTTATTTACACTTTTAGTTTTACACACCAGAAAAACTATTCTTTATTTACACATGTGTCCTATTTATTTCACTTAAACATATGGCCTTGATATGCATCCATTTTCCTATGAATGGCTCTAGTTTCTCATTTTTTATGGCTAAGTAGTACTCCATTTTATACAAAAAACACATCTTCTTTATCCAGTCACCAACAGATGGGCAATTGGGCTGTTTCCAAATTTTACCTACTACAAACTGTGACACTATAAACATGGGTGAGCATATATCATTGTGGTATGGTTCCTTTAATACTTTTGGAAAGATACCCAGAAGAGGGATAGCTGGCTCAAGTGGGTCCCAGTCTTTGAGGTATCGCCACATTAGTCTTGACTGGGTCAAGACTAATCCCAGTCTTTGAGGTATCTCCACATGATTTCCAAAGTGGTTTCACCAGTCTGAAATCCTACCAACAATGGAGAAGTGTTCCTTTCTCCACATAACCCCACTGACACTGGTTGATTTTTTTTATAGCGACCATTCTTTCTGAAATGAGTTGGAATCTCAGTGTTGTTTTCGTCTACATCTCTCAAATGATCAGAAATACTTAAAATTTTTTCATATATGTATTTGCTTCTTTTATTTCTTAGTCTGAGAAATGTCTGTTCATTTCAGATGCCCATTTTTGAGTGGGGTCATTATATTTGAGAGGCCTGATTTTTTTTGAGTTCTTTATATATTCTAGACAATAATCATTTGCCTGAGGAGCAGCTGGTAAAAACTTTTTCACACATTGTAGGTTGTCTCATAGCTCTGTTGATGGTTTCTTTTGCAGTCCAGAAGCTTTTTAATGAGATGAGATCCCAGGTGTTGATCTTTGTGCTAGTTCCCATGCTACTCGGGATTTCATCATAAAGTGTTTCCTATGCCAACGTCTTCAAGAGTTCTGCCTAACTTACCTTCCATCAAGTTTAGTGCTGCTTT